ATGTAGATCGTTTGTTTAACTCATTCCTATTGTCAACTCATCTCGTAATTGATTCACCGAAAGATGATTCACGAAAGGTGAATAGAAAGAAGAACAATATTAAGAAAGAAATAGCGGATTTTAAACAGGCTTTGTCAAACAAGAGCATTTCAGCATTTCATTGAGTCAAACAGAGTAACAGAGGCAAAAACAAACTGCAAAAGCAAGCAAAATCTTTTCAAATCTTGTCTAGGCTGTCAAAAAACGTGCACAATTTGATGGACACCGATTCGAGAACAACAATTGCAAGAATAAGCGATTTCGACCGCTAATCGCCGGAGGTGAGTTGGAAAATAAGTTGAAAACTTGAGCAACTTTGATGCTAAAGTAGCTACTTTAGCTACTTTAGCATCTACTTTAGCTACTTTGGCTACTTTAGCATCTACTTTAGCTACTTTAGCATCAAACGAAATTCCTTGCAAGTTCTTTAACTGATCTTGAGCAACTTTAGCATTGTAGGAAAAGCATTTCATTGAATCTATACGTAATTTTTTGATCAATTTCAATAAGTTTGATCAATTTCAATAATTTTTGATCTAATTTGCTAAATTTTGATCAATTTCAATAAATTTTGATCTAATTGCTAATGCTAATTTCATCCTTTTTAGGAGTCAATCTCTCGAAATCTTCCTCTCGGATGGGCTTCATCGACGACTCTCTATCGATGGCCCAACGATTTCCACAAATTGATTGATCGAGTCAAATTCAATCCTATGATTTCACAAACAATGTGATTAGTGTTCTTGAAATGAGCTTGAGATATTGTAACGGGTAAAAAAATGATTGCTGAGTGATACAAATGCATTAATAACTTTCAAACAAGCTTTAGAAATCTTTGCTAGAATCTTCTAGAATTTTAGAATTCTAGAATTCTAGCATCTTCTAGAATTCTAGAATTCTAGAATTATCTCAAATATCTAAAATATCTAGCAGTTGTACTTATCTTTACCTCCAGATTGTACCAGTCAAATACCTTGACTTATATCACAATATTATCCAAAGAACACCTTGAAAAGCATGTTTTGAAGTTAAAGATTTAAAGTTAAAGGTTTAAAGTTAAAGGTTTAAAGTTAAAGATCTAAAGATTAAAGATTCTAAAGTTAAAGATTTAAAGATTAAAGCTTCGAAAGATTAAAGCTTCTAAAGTTAAAGATCTAAAGTTAAAGGTTTAAAGTTAAAGGTTTAAAGTTAAAGGTTTAAAGTTAAAGGTTTAAAGATTAAAGCTTCTAAAGTTAAAGATCTAAAGTTAAAGGTTTAAAGTTAAAGATCTAAAGTTAAAGGTTTAAAGTTAAAGATTTAAAGTTAAAGATTTAAAGTTAAAGGTTTAAAGTTAAAGATCTAAAGTTAAAGATCTAAAGATTAAAGCTTCTAAAGGTTAAAACGTTCGTTTACGAAAAGTGTCAAAACATTTGATGAATCCTGTGCTGTTTTTGTGCTTTCTGGCTGGTTTTTGATACAAAATCTTTCAATAAACCTATTCAGGCATTGAAATTCTAATTTAATATATATTTAATCCAATAGAATTTAAAAATCATATTTTAAAACATTAAAATAGATCCAAAGGGGACGAGTTTTCAATAGAAAAACGCACATTTTTCAACAAACATCCGCATAGCTTCTTTTCTTTCTTTCTTTTCTTTTCTTTTCTTTTCTTTTAATGTCCTCTTTTCTTTTTAATGTTCTTTGTCTTTTTTGAGGAAAAATCCACGCATCATTCTGTGAGAGAATCGACAGGAAAAGTGGGGATATTTGTGCGAGCTCTCGAAACGAGCCACCGGACACATTGTCCTCGCTTATTTCCCCGCTCATCAGCAGCGTCCTTGGCTATTCCTCCTATTCCTTCATTCATTCTATTTGTCTGTTAATCATCTTCTTCTAGTGCCTGTTAATCATCTCACTTTCTATTGTTGTTTAGTCAGACAGTTCCTGTTGTTGTTCTTGTTGAACTTATGGCTTGATTTTAAAACCAAATGAATTCTAAAAGTTACTACAATTACTGTAGTTCTTACTGCATATTAATCTAGTTTTCAGCTTATAATTTTCAGCGGATTTATTCTAAAAAAAACCTCCAAGCTTTGCTTCTATTTGCTTTAGAGTTTCGCAAATAGGTTTGTGCTCATAAAATGGGCGAAAAAGAGTAAAACGAAGATTGCCTTGTATAGACAGAGGACTCGAACCCCCAGGGTCCAAAGGGTATACGCCCGGCAGACGCACGCACTAGCCACTACACCACCAAGACCGTTGGCTGAAGACAGTGCGTCGCCCTTATAAAGAGACCGAAAAAACTTGTATGCCAAATATCTCGCGATAGAAAAGCGTTTGGCAAAAACTGATTGCAGATTCGGAATGAGCGTGAAAAACTGCATCAGATAGGCTATTTTCTGAGTCAAAAGCCATGATAAGTTAACAAAATTTCCTAGTAAAACCAAAGTTGTACAATAAACAATCAACTTTCCTTACAAGTTTTCATCAAAACCCACCACAATTCTTTCTCATTTCAACTTTGAATGCAAAACTCTTGTGAATGACGAAGAACAATAGATTGGTTGAAAGAGAATGAATGGGGATGGGTCTCGATGCATATTTGCCAGTCATTTAGCCGTTCCATTCGGCTAGAAAAGCTCTCTTTTAGATGGGAACAAGCACAAACAATCCTCCTCTTCTTTCTCTTCTCCTTTCACTCATCCAATACCCACTATTTCCCTTCTATAGCTTCTATAGCTTCTGCATTCTATTTCTGCATTAGAGTCTTCTGCATTAACATCAAAGAATCTATAAATTTTGGTACTTATGACTATAATATTCTTGCTTTTTCTGAAAGTTTCCTGTTCTTGAAAACAGTTCTTGAAAGTAGTTCTTGAAGGCTTTCATTTCCTGAAAGCAATTCCTGAAAGCAGTTCCTGAAACAAATTCCTGAAAGCTTTCCTTTTCAGAAAGCAAATCTCTTTTTTATTCTTGTATAGTCATTTTTCCTTTTTGCAATTTATCGCCCACTTGCCCGTATCAGCCGTTTTGCGCCTTTTTTACATTGATTCATCGGAATTTCTTTTTAGTTCTTTTTCTAATCATGTATTCCAAAAAGTTTTCTGCTTTAAATGCTTTTTATTTTTCTTTTTGAGAGATCAAAGATATATTTAGATGAAAGTTTTACTCATCTAAATCGATTTTCATCTGAATTTTAAACTTTAAACTTTAATGATTCATAAAAACCTAGAAAAAACTCTTTCTTTCCCAGGAAAAACTTTAAACTTTAAAATTTAAACTTTAAAGAACTTTAAAACTTTAAAAGCTAGTATAAAAATATAAGCAAATAAAAGAAAGATAATAGAAAGCTGTGAGAAAATCGGTAAATCTTTCCAAGAAAGTCTAACAGTTAAAATATCGATTCTAGGTCCCAAGTTTCCACAAAATTTCCCTTCATATGCTTAAAATGTTCTTCTATATCCAATAATCGTAATGTTTATGCTATGAAGAAATTTAAAATTTAAAAGAACTTTTAAACTTTAAAAGCTAATATAAAAATATAAGCAAATAAGAGAAAGATAATATAAAACGATGAGAAAACTAGAAACTATGAGAACTATGAGAAACTATGAGAAAAATCTTTCCAAGAAAGCCTAACAGTTAAAATATCGATTCTAGTTTCCAATTTTCCACTCGTGTGCTTTAAAATTTCCCTTCATATGCTTAAAATGCTCTTCTATATCCAATAATCGTAACGTTTATGCTATGATATTTATTCTTTTCTTAAAATCTACTATATACTCTGTATAACGGAAGTCTCTATATAGGGGAAAACCAAGATTCCATTCCATATAATGGAATGGAATCTTGGTCCCGACAAACGCTAAGCTTTATATAACGGACTCTATATAACGGATTCTATATAACGGACTCGATCTAACGGATTCTATATAATGGACTTTGTATAATGACTTTATATAAAAGACCCTATATAACGGATTCTATATAACGGACTCGATGTAACGGACTCTATATAACGGACTCTATATAACGGACTCTATATAACGGACTCGATCTAACGGACCCGATAGACGCTAAGCTTTATATAATGGACTCTATATAACAGACTCTATATAATGGATTCTATATAACGGATTCCATATAACAGATTCTATATAACGGACTCGATCTAACGGACTCGATCTAACGGCAGCTCTATATAACGGACTCTATATAACAGATTCTATATAACGGACTCGATCTAACGGGAGCTCTATATGATGGAAAAATTCTTTTCGTCCATTCCATTCCGTTATAGAGAGAGTCGACTGTAGATCTCAGTCCGTCTCAGTTCGTCTGTGAGCGCTCTTTGAGTATTTTAGAAAAACTCTGAAACACGTGGCTAATGAAATTTCATGTAGTTGTGTCGTTAAAAAATTTGCAAAAAGTGAGAGTAGGTGGTCATTGGGGGTCGAAGCCGGGTCGTGTGAGGGATGAGCTCGCTATCCACTGCACCATCAGTTCCAATTTGCATTTTACGTTGAAATTTGCATGGCGCGGTTTTCTAACACAAGGAATTCATTTCTGACAATCATTTTTACAATTTCTGAAGCAGCTGTTCTGCTGGTCATTATTGAGAAGTTAAAAATTATCCAGCTCCTTTTCCAGCTCCTTTTCCAGCTCCTTTTCCAGCTCCTTACAACTCCTTTTCCAGCTCCTTACAACTCCTTTTCCAGCTCCTTTTCTAGCTCCTTTTCTAGCTCCTTTTCTAGCTCCTTTTCTAGCTCCTTTTCCAGCTCCTTTTCTAGCTCCTTTTCTAGCTCCTTTTCCAGCTCCTTACAACTCCTTTTCCAGCTCCTTTTCTAGCTTCTTTTCCAGCTCCTTTTCCAGCTCCTTTTCCAGCTCCTTTTCTAGCTCCTTTTCTAGCTCCTTTTCCAGCTCCTTACAACTCCTTTTCCAGCTCCTTACAACTCCTTTTCCAGCTCCTTTTCCAGCAGATGGCTTCCTCATCGTCACCCCCACCACAGCCGCCAAACGTTCTTTTGTTGGGAAGAATGGGGCTTTCCCATGAAACCGTTTTTGGATCAATAAAGGTTTGAAAAAGATACGAATCACAATCAGGAATTACAATTACAATCAAAATTTAATTTAATCTTATCAACTATCAATCTAGGGGTGACTATTTTACGCCAAAATTTTTCGCACAACTGTATCGTTTTGCGCAACTTGTCATAACTTTCTTCTAAGTAAACCAATCTTTATGATTTTTATGTCATTTTGTAGATCTCAATAAGTTCAACAAAATGAAACCAATATCATAAAGATTGATCAATTTAGAAGAAAGTTATGACGAGATGCGCAAAGTGATCCAGTTGCGCAAAAGATTTGGCGTAAAATAGACCTTTAACCTTCAATCTTTGTCTACTTTTTTGGTTTAAACATTTTCTAGAATTATTTATTGTTTTTCTAGAAAGGTCGCAAAGAAATGCGCAAAACGATTCTCCTGCTTGGCGCAAAAAATAGCGGAAAAACGGCTCTCGTGAACAGTGTGACGAATTATTTGTACAAGATTGGACAAGACTCAAAATATCGATTGCATATTGTGGGAAAAGAGAAGACAAGTCGAGGTTTGAAACTTTCAATTTGAAAAAAAGGAAACGGAACGAACGGAAAGAAATTCGTTTGCTAAATCTAAACTTTTGATGTTTCTGTTGACGAAATCATTAGCAAACTGAAGGAAATTATTGGGTTGGTGAATTGAAAAATGCGGGCTATTGTCAAATGTGACAGTTTGAGCACTTTCTTCGAAAGAAACCCATTTTGGTGTCAATGGAAAAGTTGTAGAGAATTCATGTAAGATTTTAATTTTCGCGCAACGTCGCATTCCAAATGACGTCGCCGGTAGTCGAAGGTAGTCGATGGGAGCGCCGCGTCGTCGTTTCTTTTTCATTTTCAAATCATTTCTTTTTATCAGATTAATTGAAAGTATTGTTTTACGCGATAAATTTTGTGAAGAAATGAGAAAGGAATCTATTTCCAGTCGAGAATTCGGAACTTTTCGTAGGTCGAACCACAATGAAGGCCAAAACTATTGGGTTGGTGAATTGAAAACTCCGGGCTATTGTCATATGTGACAGTTTGAGCACTTTCTTCAAAAGAAACCCATTTTGGTGTCAATGGAAAAGTTGTAGAGAATCAAAAATCAAGCTTATATCCAAATTTTCAGAACGATTCAAAAACTGGTTTTCAAGAAATGCCAAATTTACGAATTTTCACAAAACTTCCAACAAAACTTGCATTTTAAGCGAAACTACTAAGTGTATCTTTTTGGAAATTTGGCTATAAGTCTAATTTTTGATTCTCTACAACTTTTCTATTCACGCCAAAATGGGTTTCTTTTGAAGAAAGTGCTCAACTGGGACAACTCCAGTCTCCATCTCCAGTCCTCCATTTTTGAGTCTCACTTGTCTCACACACAAACCAAAATCCTACTACGAAAGAGGAATCCGCAAATTGCCTGTAAAATGAGCAGAAGTCGTCAATAATAATGGGAATTATTTGGAACGAATTCATGGTTTTATATTGAATAAATTTTAGTTGAAAGCCCCGCAGTTTTCTCATTACCAACTACCATCGGGAATCTTCTCGTGAATTGGGAGAAGAGTTAGGGGTTGATCATGCTACAGTGCTAAGGCACCTTCAAACCCTTGGATTTAAATCGAAACTTGGGGCTTGGGGCATGACCTCAATAACTCCCAGAAGTGGCAGCGCGCCTCGATCAGTGCCGCCCATCTCTCACAATACAAAAGGAAATCTTTCTTTCTCGAATTGTGATGGGAGATGAGAAATGGGTTTTATCTGGAACTTTCAGAGGAAGTGGCAATGGGTGGGGCCAGGCGAGAAACCCGAAAGTGACCCTAAGCCCGATTTCCAGCAGAAGAAGTTTATGCTCTGCGTTTTCTGGGATATGGAGGGAGTGGTGTACTGGGAGTTGCTGGATAGCAAGATGACCGTTAATGCAATCCAATACAGTGAACAGTTGGGAAAGGTGAATGAATCCCTGAAGAAGAATAGGCCCTCCAAGTCAAAGATCGTTCTCATCCACGACAACGCGTGCCCTCATGTTGCAAAACTGACTCGCTCTAAAATAAATAGCCTTGTTTGGGAACTTTTGTCGCATCCTCATACAGTCCGGACCTTTTGATTATTATTTATTCCGGATCATGAGTAATGAGCTTGCGGGAGAACACTTCGATTCGGAAGAAGCAGTCAAAAATTGGCTTTGAAAGTTTTTCGATTCAAAACCAAAATCCTACTACAAAAGAGGAATCAAATTGCCTGTAAAATGAGCAGAAATCGTCAATAATAATGGAAATTATTTGAAATGAATTCATGGCTTTATATTGAATAAATTTTAGTTCAAAGTCCGGCAGTTTTCAATTCACCAACCCAATATTTCGTCAAGGGAAAAGTGCATTAAAAAAAGAATTCGGTTTCCAGGTGGGCTCTCAATGGGGCCAACAACGTCTGTGCATACTTATGTTTTTCACGGAACTCGAGTCCCAACTTCATTGGCTTTAGTCGACACTCCTCCACTTGGAGAGCACCAAAAAAGTTGGATTTTGACTTAAACAATTCACTATTTTATTCTATTATGGATTTGATTCTAAAATACTATAGATAAAATATAGATAAGATAGATAAGATCTAGATAGATACCATAGATAAGATCCATAATGATACCGGAATCTTGACATTCAACTAAAATTCACAAAATTTGTCAGGATTAGATCGAAATGCACCTTGAATTCTAGAAATTCTAGAGAATTTCCCCTTATTCAGATCACAAAGAGGTTTCATGTACAAAAATCAAAAAATGGTATGCATCGAGTTATGATCATCCATGCAAAGATATTGAGGTATTACAATTTATTTGACTTTTCAAATGATTTAGATTTCGAAGATTTAAATGCTCTGCAAATTAAGGTAGATTAAAATCGAGCCAGATTTTTCTTATTTTAATCTTTTCATTTCATTTATCATATTGAAGTATTACTTTTTATTTGAAAATTTGGGGTAGGCTAGTTTGCGCAACTTGTTTTGCGCAACTGGATCATTTGCGCAACTGGGTCATTTGCGCTACTTGCCATAACTTTCTTCTAACTCAGCCAATCTTTATGACTTTGGTTTCATTTTGTTGCACTTATTGAGATCTACAAAATGGCACAAAGAGCAGAAAGATTGGTTCACTTAGAAGAAAGTTATGGCGAGTTGCGCAAACGACCCTGTTGCGCAAAAAAAGCTGCGTAAACTAGCCTACCCTAGCTAGCCTACCCTAGCTAGCCTACCCTAGCTAGCCTACCCTAGCTAGCCTACCCTAGCTAGCCTACCCTAGCTAGCCTACCCTAGCTAGCCTACCCTAGCTAGCCTACCCTAGCTAGCCTACCCTAGCTAGCCTACCCTAGCTAGCCTACGCTAGCTAGCCTACCCTAGCTAGCCTAAAAAAACTAGCCTAAAATTTCAATTACCAAGCTCAATCGATTTTCCAGATCTGGTTGGTGATCTCAGCTCAACAGCCATCGGTCACTAAAGAATTCATGATCGAATTGAAGGAGTTATTGGAAGATTTAGATGCTCTACATATTAAAGTAAAGTAAATTGAAGTGAAATTGATCTAAATTTAAAACTTTACTGATTTTACTCTCTTTCTTTGTTACTTTCTTCCTTTCTTCCTTTCTTTTTTCCTTTCTTCTTTTTTTCTTACTTTCCTCTTTCTTTCTTCCTTTATTTCTTCCTTTTCTTTCCTTCTTTCTTCTTTTCTTCCTTTCTTTCCTTCTTTCTTCTTTTCTTCTTTTCTTCCTTTCTTTCTTCTTTGTCTTTCTTATTTCTTCTTGGGCTAAGAAGGCACCAATAGCTCAATGGTAGAGCATCTGTTTGGTAAGCGGTAAGATAAGGTCGAGGGTTGAATCCCCTCGGTCCCAAATTCTTTCCTATTCATTTCTTTACTTTAAATTTTTCAGGTAACCCCAGTGATCACTTTCTCGAAGAATCGGAAACCGATCTTAGCGATGAAAGCCCTCGAACTACTCGGCTTTCAGACACAAGTATTGTTTCCTTTTAACGTCAAAGGCTTTTAGCGTCAAAGGCGTCAACGTCAAAGGCTCAAAATTCCAGCTAGAAAACGTTGACTACTTTATGGTGAACAATGAATCAGTGCTACCGATTGGTGGATGTGCACAAACGAATGCTCTGCCGATGAAAGAAACTCTGAGAAATTTGAGAGCTCTCTTGATCAACACGACTGAACCGATTGTGCATATTTTGGGGTAAATGTTTGGGATTTTGGTTGATAATGTTGCTTTCAATTCTGCCATAGTTGCTGTAGTTTTTCTAACACTCCACTAGATACTAGACTTGATACAAAGCAGAGATTTTCTAATCAAATCATATTCTAAGCCTGGATCAAATCTGACTTTATGAACCGAATCGAATCGTCGGGAATCGAACCCAGATCGCCCGCGTGGCAGGCGAGCCACTGAACCACCATGAAAGGAAATAGAAATCGTTGTAAAGAGCTTCTTAAACGGCGTTTTTCGATCGCTGGGAGCGGGGTACTGGTGGCCTAATGGTTAGTGAAACGGGCTCTCGCTAGGAAGATCAGGAATTCTGGAATTCTGTACCAATTACCCTAGGAATTCTGTACCAATTACCAATTACCGCTCTTGGTTTTTGGTTTTTTTTTGCTTTAAATGTAATACTTTATATTGTAACTATTCAATATAAGAGGTCAGGACATACCTCTATCGCTGACTAAGCTAGCCTGGACAAAATTAGCTGAACAACTAGACAAAATTAGTTCTTGAACAACTTTGGTATAAAACCAAGCAAGCAATCGGTGAAATTCTGTACTGCTCAGAATTCTGTACCAATTACTGCTCACATTTTAGCACTGTTGTTTCCAAAGAGGCTTCACACTCTATTCGGGAATCGAGAGAATTACTGCAAACTCCTAAAGAAGAACTCGATGCGAATAACAATGAAAAGCACTACAATTTACCTGTAAGCTTTAAAAAGATTTATATTTAAAGCTTAGATTCTTTCAGAAACACAAATTTCAGAAACAACTCCAATGGAGTGTCCGCTCGCAAACACACGAGGATCACATCTATGCAACGCCAAAGAAAACTCGTCCTCCAATCAACGTGAATCGATATCCAGTGAAACCGAATAATTTGGTGCTTCAAAAGTCAATAAGTTCCTCGCAAGTGAATCTGATATCGATCAGTCCATATGAGACGGTCGTTTGAAAGTTGAAAGTCGAAAGCTGAAAGTCGAAAATTGCAAATTTCGAATGAATTGTTCTTGAAAGCTTGTCACTGATGTACTTTTAAATACACAATCTTTATTCTACTTTATTCTACCATAAAGGAGCTTTAAAGGAGCTTTAAAGGAAATAAATAGGAGCTTTAAAGGAACTAAATAGGAGCTTTAAAGGAGCTTTAAAGGAACTAAATAGGAGCTTTAAAGGAGCTTTAAAGGAGCTTTAAAGGAACTAAATAGGAGCTTTAAAGGAGCTTTAAAGGAGCTTTAAAGGAGCTTTAAAGGAAATAAATAGGAGCTTTAAAGGAGCTGTCGAAAATTGCAAATTTCGAATGAATTGTTCTTGAAAGCTTGTCACTGATGTACTTTTAAATGCACAATCTTTATTCTACTTTATTCTACTTTATTCTATTCATTTTTCTAGCTCCCAATAGCTCCTAGCTCCTAAAACTGATTATTATTGCAATCATTTGACATTCAAAATCTCCATTTTACTCTGAAACCTATGGTTTGTTTGTTTTCAATGTATTTTGAGCTTAAAAATGGAAACCCATTCCTTCTGGTGCACTGAAATCTTTACTCATTTCATTAAAACAAATCGTTTCCGCAAGAAAACGAAGAATTCAGTTTGCCAGAGTGTTTACAAATTCGAGCACAAAGTAAACGCTAACAAGTCGACATGAACGCTACAAACTACAAACTACAAACAAAGCCAGACTACAAACCCTTGTAGAAACGCTCAGAATGGGTTTTTTTGAAAACTTTTTTCACCCAAGAATTAGGCGAACTTTAGGCTTTTAAATGACACCAAAATCTAGTCAATTCATCGTTTTCACACCGAGAACGAGTCATTTATAGCCTTTTGTAGTCTCGTTTCCATGGGAGGAGGCTACAAGTCTGGAAAAGAACGTTATATCTCAGCGCGGAGAACATGATTTGGCCTGATTTTGGTGTCATTCGAAAGCCTAAAGTTGGTGTGATTTTTGGTAAAAGATTTTTTGAAAAATCTCTATTCTATGTGTTTCTACAAGTGTTTGTAGTCTGATCTTGTAGTTTATCGTCTATTCTTGTAGTTTATAGTCTAATCTTGTAGTTTATAGTCTAATCTTGTAGTTTATAGTCTAAGCTTGTAGTTTATAGCCTGATTTTGTAGTTTATAGTCTGTTCTTGTAGTTTATAGTCTAATCTTGTAGTTTATAGTCTAATCTTGTCGGTTATCGTCTAATCTTGTAGTTTATAGCCTGATTTTGTAGTTTATAGTCTGATCTTGTAGTTTATAGTCTAATCTTGTAGTTTCTCGTCTAATCTTGTAGTTTATAGTCTAATCTTGGAGTTTATAGTCTAATCTTGTCGTTTATCGTCTAGCCTTGTAGTTTATAGTCTAATCTTGTCGTTTATCGTCTAATCTTGTAGTTTGTAGCGCCCATGACAAACGCTCTACCTTTTCTAAGCAAAACCTCTGTACAAAAAGGTTGATTTCCCTGTAATTTCCCATATTTTAATGGCAACTTGTGCAATTTTGATCACATTTTTTTTCTCGCTTTTATGCTTTCCTTTTTGATGACTTTTTTGATGTATTGAATCTTTCAAATTAAACTTTTCGACTTTTCATTTCTTTGCACACAAGATTCACATAGAGATCTTCACGAAATAAATAAAAATAAAGAGTTTTCCTCGAAACACAAAGCAAGTAATAGGCACCAAATAAAACCACGTAAAGTGAGGAAGAAACAGAAATAAAAGACAAAACAAACAAACAAAAAAAAAAAGAAAACGACTAGCACATTTTACATTTCGAAATTTGGCAAAAAGAGAAAGAAAAACCGGATAAAGTATCGACAATAAATGAACTATTGAGATTCGACTTTTCAGAGTGTACTTTAAGCTTTAAGCCTTAGAAAAAGCACTTCTTCTTTTGCACTTCTTTTGCTCTGCTTTTGCACTTCTCTTGCATTTCTTTTGCACTTCTATTTAAAGAGCAATCGAGTGCGCCAGAAGGACCGGTGTGCACAGACTGTCTGTTAGCACAAAGTGCACAGACTGTCTGTTAACACTTAAAGAAAGCCTAAATGGACTATCAAAGTGGGACTAGATAAGGGAAAATTTGCTGTAATTTCACCAAGAAAAGTGCTTGTTGATTAAACGGAAGAAGATCTCGTGTTTCCACAGTTGATGCAAACGCTCTAATTTCTCCAGAACCTGAAAGCAAAAATGGGAAATGATAAATTAAATGATCCTTAGTTCTTTGTGCTTGATCGGTGTGTGCCAGAAGGGATGTGTTTCTATTTGTAAGCAATGCAAAGTCAGTTAGAAGTTGGGCGCAGTCTTGTTTTCGTATCTACTAAAAAGCAGTGTCCGGGTTCTGTCCGTTTGTATGGGCTTTTTCTCAGCTCTCTTTGGCTCAAAGAAAAACTGAAATTGAGTGGCACTACGAGGGATCGAACCCGGATTGGGGGGCCGTAGAAGACCGCGCTTCTTTTTGAGCTAATGCCGAGCTGAGCACCCGGCCAGTAAAACCCAGAAAAACCTTGTCTGTATTAAGAAAAACCCAGAAAAACTCAGTTTTTTCAGCTGAGCTTCCAGCTGGAGCCTTTATAATAAAAATCTCTAGCACCACCTTTCGATCACCATTTGGATGCTTTCTTTCCTTTGCAGGCCCCAAGACAGTGAAGAGTTTGATCATTTCGTCGAACGCATGGAAAACCCTTAATCGGATCAACTGCAGAAATCGGCATCGTGTACCACCAAAAGAAATTTGTTAGATCAAAAAACAGCTTTAAATACTGTTCTGAACCAGCCGCCATGGGGCCGACTGACTAAGAGCCTTTGTATCTTGTCTTATCCTGGTCTTTATCTTAGTCAGGGTTCAATCTCTGGCTTGGTGTTATTAAATGGCGGGATTTCTTAACCCTTGAGATTCCTAATCTAGTTTGGCAATTTGCGAAGCTCTCCCGAATTTTGCGGGTACCACGCACCAATGCCACGAAGTAAAAGTACTTTTTGTTTTTTACTAGGGTTCTTTCTCCAAAGGTTTTCTCTCCTGCTTAGGCCTTAAGGGTTGTGCTTTAGTATTTAGGTCTTAAGGGTTGTGCTCTTTCATTGTGTGAATTAAATCGCTTGAATAAATGGATTGTAGTGAAAGTCGTGATCACCTCCTAAACCCATTCCGAGCCCGTCCTCGGCACCGCTGGGTTGATCGCGTGATTCCCGAGGTATATCTCGAATCAACCTCTCACCGTCAACGAAATGTATTTCTGATCCAACGGGAAATGATTTCAAATCAATGAAGCATATGTCGATGATAGATTCTCAATCGAATCGCCCCCACTTTGCATTCACGCCTCTCGTTTTTGCTAGAAAAACTTTTACTAGAAGTATAAAGATTGAGAAAATGTGAGGCTTTGATTCTCAAGCTAAGCTGAAGCTAAGCTAAGCTGAAGCTAAGCTAAGCTCAAGCTAAGCTAAGCTCAAGCTAAGCTCAAGCTCAAGCTAAGCTCAAGCTAAACTCAAGCTAAGCTAAGCTCAAGCTAGCTTAAGCTCAAGCTAAGCTCAAGCTAAGCTAAGCTCAAGCTAAGCTCAAGCTAAGCTAAGCTCAAGCTAAGCTCAAGCTAAGCTGCTCAAGCTCAGCTTGCAAGCTAAGCTCAAGCTAAGCTCAAGCTAAGCTCAAGCTAAGCTCAAGCTAAGCTCAAGCTCAAGCTCAAGCTAAGCTCGCTAAGCTCAAGCTAAGCTCAAGCTGCTAAGCTCAAGCTAAGCTCAAAGCTAAGCTAACAAAGCCAACTCAAGCTAAGCTAAGCTAAAGTCTTGTTACTCATGAGCCTTGAATGTGAGTTGGTGTGAGTTGCGCCAAATTGGCGTTGTTAGTCTGTGAGCATTTTGTGTTTTAAGCTTTTCGGCCCCAGGCGCAGCGCAGTTCGTCTTCAGTATCCCGAGCAATCCGCACCCACGGCCGTTCGCTCCGAACTCAGCATCATCCCGAGGCGTTTCTTTCATAGCGAAGCTTATTGTACATAATCTAAAATAGATATTTCCTTTTTATAGTGAGTTTTCGTTTTTAGACCTGATATCGCTCTTGTGATGGATCTGCCCCCAGCGACGATCAACTTCATCTTTGGATTCCTTGTTAAACAGGATACGCTCCGAGGCATCTCGCATACGAAATAGAAGCTGGACTCACTTCTCGATTGTCACCTCATTCCATTTTGTTTCCAGCATTGATTTGCAGGTTGATTTCACCGCCGATTACAGATTTTATTGATTTTTAATGCAGAAAAGTAAAGCAAGTGTGAGAGGGAAGTTGAGTAGGTGATACACGCTTTGGCTTCTCCTTTGTGTAGAGATCATATTTTTAACCCCCTTATATCATTGTACAGAGCACATTACAGGCTTTCCCATGATACAAATCAAAAACCGATTGAATAAATCCCGAGTCAGAAAAAACCGACCCAACTCTGAGGCAAATGAAGACCTATCCAGCTCGGATGTCTTGTCGCCTTGTTTACATGGGAATGAAAAATCCCCCAGCTTTATTTGGTATTATTTAAAAGCCTGTAATGTGCTCTGTACATTGATATAAAAAGTTAGTAAAAATATTGTGCTCTGATGAAAGGTTCCTTCAAGGAGGGCTTCAAAGTGACGACCCGTTCGAGAATACCTATTCAACTTTTTATCTATTTATTGTCGCCTGGTTTTCTTGGACTGAAAAAGCGAATCAAGCTCTCTTTGGTATCATTTAAAAAGCCTGAAACGTTTTTCTATCCAATGATATAAAAGGTTGAAAAAGCGTGATCTCTTCATAAAGTTATAGGCTTAAGTGTGACGACCTGTTCCCAGACCGAGCCACACGCAAAAAACTTTTCTATTCACTGTGATGTAAACAATTTCTTATGGTTTATCCTTTTTCTTAAGTTTGCTCTTCTCGGAATTTGCCCCAATCCTTTGACACAGTTTATCGGAAGCTTTTGGCGCTCTCAAGCACAGAGAAGCT